AGAGAGCACACAAATAATAAACCTTGACGAAAACTTCATATATAGTACGAACCAACATGAGGACATGGATTTCAAAAGTTTTTTGTTCGATATAAGAAGATGCCTATTATGCCGTTTATGAAGTCGTTTGTGTTATGTGTACAGTAGAGGTCAAAAAGAGAGTGATATTTCATTGGCCAAGACGCCAAGTTAAACTAATCCCTGAATCGATATACAAATAAGAAATTAAAGGAGGGTGTGCAGAAAAAAGGTAAATCCGACGGCCCACAAGAGTCCAGACTGAGCCCATAAATCTTCCCTCCCCCATCACTCTTGTGTCCTCCTAAAACCCTAACCCCTCCGCCGCCCCTCGGCCTACCAGCAGCTGCCGCCGCCATCCGCCGGCGAGATGGCGCTGTACCTGCTGTTCGAGTCGGCGTCCGGCTACGGCCTATTCCACGCGTACGGCATCGATGAGATCGGGCAGAGCGTGGAGGCCGTGCGCTCCTCCGTGCTGGACCTCGACCGCTTCGGCAAGGCCGTCAAGCTCACCGCCTTCAACCCTTTCTCCTCTGCCGTCGACGCGCTCAACCAGTGCAACGCTATCTCTGAAGGTTCTCTCCTCCCCACCTAAGCACGCAGCCTCGCTGCGAGATGCTTTTGTTTTGACCCGGGCTTTGGACTTTCCTTTGATCAGGGATCATGACCGATGAACTGAGGAGCTTCCTGGAGCTGAACCTGCCGAAGCCCAAGGAGGGGAAGAAGGCCAAATACAGCCTCGGCGTCGTCGAGCCCAAGGTCGGCTCCCACATCTCCGAGGTCACCGGCATCCCCTGCCAGAGCAATGAGTTCGTCCAGGAGCTGCTACGCGGTGTCCGCCTCCACTTCGACCGTTTCATCAACGAGCTCAAGGTATCGCCTTTTCCCCATCCTATGTTGTTCAGAGGCTCAGATTCTGCATTGTTAGTTTCCCGTGTGGCTCAAAGTTGCGTGAATATGATTGCGAAGCTTTGCCTGCTCGACTTGTGTTTAGCATATCATAGGCCTTCTTTTTTGGTAAAGCTGGATGGGTGGTGTGTAATTTGGTTTTCGGATGTTGATTGTCTCAAAATTGTGTGAATATGCTTGCGAAGCTTTGCCTGCTGGGCTTATGCATAGTGTATCATATATCTAAATTTGTTGTGAAGTTGGATGCCTGTTGCTTAATTTGTGTTTCCGATGGTGATTGTAGGATTCTGACTTGGAGAAGGCCCAGCTTGGTCTTGGGCATAGCTACAGCAGGGCCAAGGTGAAGTTCAATGTGAATCGTGTTGATAACATGGTTATCCAGGCAATCTTTCTGTTGGACACACTTGACAAGGACATCAATTCCTTCTCCATGAGAGTCAGGTCTGTTCCTTGTTCTCCTATAACTGTTTATTGTTAACTTTCTGAGAGGCGTAATAGGCCGTATTTATACAGTCTGCTTTGGTAAGAAACTCCGAGAACATGAATATGCCAATATGCCCTTAGTATGATTATTTATTGCTTTCTCAATAAAACACTGCAGGGAATGGTTCTCATGGCACTTCCCTGAGCTTGTCAAGATTGTGAATGACAATTACCTATATGCCAAGCTTGCTAAGTTTATCTTGAACAAATCTGATTTGGCGGAAAAAGATATTCCGGCTTTGGCTGATATAGTTGGTGACGAGGACAAGGCTAAAGAAATTGTTGAAGCAGCAAAGGCTTCAATGGGTAATGGGATTTGATGCAGCCAATTTAGTTTGACTATGCTGATTGTAGTAAATGCTCTTATGTTTTGTTTTCTCTTGTTTGTTTTCAGGCCAGGATCTGTCACCAGTTGATTTGATCAATGTCCAGCAATTTGCCCAAAGGGTTATGAATCTGTCCGAGTATCGTAAAAACCTTTATGAATATCTTGTGACTAAGATGAATGATATTGCACCCAACCTGACATCGTTGATTGGTGAAGTAGTTGGAGCTCGCCTAATCTCTCATGCTGGCAGTCTTTCAAACCTTGCTAAGTGTGCTGCCTCCACCCTTCAAATTCTTGGTGCTGAGAAGGCCCTATTCAGGTTGGTAAATTCTTAAAACATCTTATGGTTTCCCACTGTTTCAGTAAATTTGAGTTAACTCTCTAATTTGTGGTTATAAAATGGTCGTATTTGAGTAAATTTTGCTAGTAGGAAGATGTCTCTTACACTTCTCCTTTGTCCACCAGAGCACTGAAAACTCGAGGGAACACACCGAAGTATGGGCTTATATTCCACTCCTCTTTTATTGGCCGTGCTTCAACCAAGAACAAGGGCAGAATGGCTCGTTACCTGGCAAACAAATGCTCGATTGCTTCACGCATTGACTGCTACTCAGGTTAGTTCTAGGAAGCTCTGTTACCAGACTCTTACGTATGCTAAGTTTGGTCATTCCAAAAGCATCATATTGATTGTTTTATATGGTATATTTGACTCCAGAGGCTAGTACCTCTGTCTTTGGGCAAAAGTTGCGCGAGCAAGTCGAGGAGAGACTGGAATTCTATGACAAGGGTGTCGCTCCTCGTAAAAACCTTGATGTGATGAAAGCCGCTATTGACAGTATGGTCAATGGCACCTCAATGGATGATGATGGTAAGCATAGGCTAATTCCATCTCTTAGAAATGCAAACTGTTTTAATTTTAATTGCCTGTAGGACAATGCATTATTCAATGCATTTATGGTTGAGTAATATTTCACTGTTCTTCAACGTGTGCAGATAACCAGAAGACTGATGCATCTGCCAAGAAAAGCAAGAAAAAGAAAACCAAGGCCGAGGCTGATGGTGATGCAATGGATGTGGATAAGCCCTCCAACGTTGCTGATGGAGAAGCTGAGCCTGGAACTGAGAAGAAGAAGAAAAAGAAGCATAAGCTAGAGGAGGCACAGGAGGAGAACGGTGCAGCACATGCTAATGGCGATGCTGAAGAGACCGAGACTCCCAAGAAGAAGAAAAAGAAGAGCCGTGAAGTTTTGGAAGAAGCTGAACCTAAGACGGCCACTGAGGGGAAGAAGAAGAAAAAGAAGAAGGCCAAGGCTGAGGATGACGAGTAGCCAAGTTATTTGTTGTATGGCGTATGAATCCGAGAGTATTTGTTGAAAACAGAGATAAACACCTAGCTTCTAGTTCATGAGGCGTTTGATGCAATCCAACTCAACTATGAAGTTTTCCTATCGTCTCTAGCCTGCTTGTATTTTTTTGGTTGTTGGATAGGCTAGTGAACTCTAGTGACTGCGTATGAGCGCAAAACAGCATAACCAAACAGCAGCCTAGTTTGGTGTTCGATTGTTATTGAGTGCGAAAACTGAGATTTGAAGGCATCTTCCCACTGTGTCATGCTCACCAAACATGATGTCAGTGGATAGGCTGTAGGCAGGGTAGCATTGAACTGTGAAACAGATGATGCCTTCCAAGTTCCAACATGGCTTATCCATGACCAACGACTATTTTATACTCTCTCCGTTCCAAATGATAAGACGTTCCAAATTATAAGACGTTGGGATGGAGTGAGTATATATCACACTGAAATACGCAACAAGCAACGAACTGAAACGAAATCAGACCCAGCATTCAACCATCCATGTATCTCAAAAACAGCAAGAGCCCCAAATCCCCCAATAGGGACGGTTATAGACAAATCCCACAGTAACAGCGACGAGCCGTGCCAAAAGAAACAAGTATTAACTCATTTTTAATGTTCTATATATACACGCACGAAGCTAAATGGCAAACGGAGTATAGTGCTACATCACAATATCATTTACAGCCTTTGTGTTGAGTGCATAGGAAGATGTCCTACACCTAACACAAGTTTTTTTATACATATTTACAGTCCACTGAACCTGAACTCCTAAAGCACTGAGCTCATATCGTCTTTCTGTCTCCACTGAGATGTAAGTTACATGCTTGAGAATCCTGCTTTCTAGTTTAAATTGAAACACTTATATTCAGAGCAAAAGCAAGCTTCATCTTAACACCCAAAATTTAGCTTCTAGGAGCATCAGATTAAACTCTTAAATTTCTCGATCAATCACTATGTTCTGCATATATACTGACTCCTGTCTTACAGTTACAGATCTGATCGTTTCGGATGATCCTATAAATCTAGTAAATGTAATAAGATGATCCGATGTTTATTGCAAGATTGGCAGAGGATGTATTTCTGATGCCTGCACATTCGTGGAAAAGATAGTTATGTGAAACCCTTAATGTTTATTGCAAGACTGACAGAGGATGTTTATTGCAAGACCAGCAGAGGATATGCTAATCTTTTTGAAGAATCACGTCAAGATTGTTAGAATTGGGATTTTAGGTAGGACCGTTTTTAAAATGACAATATCGGATCATAGAATTTAAGAATAGTAGTGGAATTCTTTCGGATTGGACGAAATATATACTTGTATGTAAGGTTTGTAATAAGTTGTAAAGATTAAAGCATATAATATTGGTTTCTAAATAATTTAATTGACTCTTTTATTAAATTATTAAGTAGATTCATTGACATTTTTAATCCACCTTAACTTTAAATGATATTTTATCATTATTATATAGGATGATAGGACCAAAGGTTCTATGTAAGATATTGCCAATATTATGAGATGCATGTTTAGAATCTAAGGTTCATGTTGAGATCATTATCGTTTTAGTTTGGTAGAATTATAAGTTTATAACGTAAGATTCTAGGATCCAAATCGGGATCCTGACAAGCTTAAAACACTGCTCGTTCCTATCTATTTTATGATTTACCAGCCCGTGGAAAAAGTACAGGTGCAAATGCGGTGCAGCACAAAGAGCCGATATTCCAGTATGTTAAACCAAACTGAAATGCAAAGCAGTATGTAAAAGCACATTGAGATATTCAGATTTTTTCTTGTAACAATAAGTATTCGTGTATGGCACTTTGAGAAATGTTTTACACATACATGCGTGACAAGCTCTTTTCTGATACATTCGACAATCCATTGAAAACCTAATTACAATGCTGTTTTCATCTTTCAACCTCCCTTGAGATGTAAATGCCATTACTTTGGGGCATGAATGTCGGTAGGGTGAAGCTTGTTTGTTTAGGCACAAAAGCTTTCATACCTTCGCTCTTGCTGATTTCAAGTCCGCATATTCCACAAAGAGATTCCAGTTCCGATTCCTAAGCGTTTGCCAATAAGCTTCAGATAGTCAGTTTTGAACCTTGAGATTCAGAAACAGCAATGCTCATCAGTAGTGGATCGAATGGTTCTAGTTTACAGTAAGATTACCTCGATCATCAGGATTCCTGATACATGTTCCAAAGGGTGGTGTTGGAGTTTGTAGCCACTATGGTTGAAGTACATCAAGGCCCTAGCTCGGACCTTCAGCAGAGAAATGGGAGGAGTTAAAGTTGATGCCAATACAAATGATCAGTGACAGTTTAGCTTGCGCACAAGGCAAGAATAGTATTTTGTTTATTTGCCCCCTAACAAAATGGTGCAGGTTTTGATATAGAACAACTGAGCAAATGTCACTAGCACCAGAAACTTCAGGTAGTAGTTTTTTATCTGCAGGGATCAAAACACAACCAAAGGAATAATTGGGAATGAAACTAACTTGAAATCTTTTATTCCTTTTGCCACGGAAGAGATCATCTGTTCAGTATCATTTAGGCTTCAAACTCATTTCAAGGATTGTTTTAACTTTTAAATAGCAATCGTGCTTGTAAGAAGAATAGGCTAAAAATCCAATATAGAAGGAAAATGTTATGCCTTCAACTGAAAATGCCGAACTTGCCATCATGGACTCACCTCATTGAGAAAAGGTTCTACAAGGCGCAACTGACGATCGGTGGCTTCAGCTGCTACCATGCAAAAGAAACGCTTGAAGTTTCCTAGGCGATAGCATCTACAGAAGATATATACAATTATCTAAGATTGAAAAAAACATGGCTCAGCATGGAAGTAGCCAACTATGAATCAACAATAAGTACTTATGACCAAATCATACAAGTGGTCAGGCACAGAGAAAATGAAAAAGCGTAAAGAATGAAGGTTTACATTGGCAAGCAATTAGTCTAGATATTACCTTAACAAAGTTCTAGCAAATATCATTTCCTTCGACCGTCTGACTGGACTAGCCAATTGACCATACCACAAAGAGAGTGAATCTATCTGAAGATAAATAGAAAGTTAGCTATGAATACAAGCTGTAAGGTAAAGTATAAAGCTCTTGAATAGGAATAAAACAAATTTGAACATGGAAGCAGTGGGAAAGCGAAAACAAATTACCATTTTGTGTATTTTGCAGCCCAAATGTAGAAGCACATAGAAGGAATAATACTCGGCCTCCTTTTTGCTGTGTGAATCACGCTTATGAAGTACATGATACATATCATACAGAGAAAGCAGGCATTTTGTTAGCTGCTCCATGTTTAGGTAACACAGGGAAGATGCATCTGAAACCTGGCAAGACGTGGAAAGTCTTTGATGGGACCTGATATGAAATGTTACCTGGGAAGTAGGCAGGTATTAGATAAAGCTTAAAGAAGATTATTTTAATATAAGTTTACACTTGAAGCAATGATATTTAGCACCAGGAAAAAAGTATGCCAGCAACATAATAAAAAGTAACAGTGCCAAAAAAATAAAAAGACCAGCTAATGGATAAAAACTGATGGCTAAAATGCATGACAGAAACTAGCACTAATAAAACAGTAGTTCAGAAAGAAACATAATTTCCCTCCCAAATTGGAACAAAAGAGAGCCTAAAGAAAGATTTGAGAATATCTAGTTACACTACCAGATATCATATGCATAAAGTGATCAGCTGCCAACATTATTAAAAATACTGCAACATTGCTTCAAGGAGAAAAACGAAAATGAAGACTGTTCTGTAGAGTACAGAAAATCTAACTTAAAAAGATGGATTTTGAATCAAGAAAAAAGCCTACCCCAACTTGCTTGGGACTGAAAGGCTATGTTGTTGTTGAATCAAGAAAAACTTCCATCTGATCAGACCAAACTTAGCTTCAAGGGTCATCAGACTAAACTCTATTGAAAGTTTGATTCAACAAAGCTGAAGTTTCAAGAAGAACAGAACAATCTAGGATCATAAAACATGTTCATGCAATAAAGAGAGTTCACAAGATAGGAATATACCACATCCTCATATATTTGAACTGCTTGATCATTCACTATATTCTGCATACTTAAGTCTTGTCTTATAGATCTTGTCCTATCAAAGATGAAATCATGTATTGTCTCAAATGGATGCTCTGAAGAATCCAGTAAATGCAAAAGATAATCCATTGTTTCTTGTAAAACCGGCAGTGGACGTATATCTGACGGCAGTACATTAGTGGAAGATATAGTTCTGCAAAACTAGCAGGAAACCAGGGGTTAGTAAAAAATAAAAATGAACTCCATAGAATACTTATTGGTTATTATGTTCTTTTATAATGTAGACAAAGTCCACGCAGTCACTCAGACAACAGAAAAGCATAAACTGCTACCTGAAACAATGTTTTCAGTTGGTAGATCAGCTATACCATGTGATTGGTAAATGGAACGATCACATCAACACAGTTTGCGATTTTCTAGCCATAACTAATGACGTGCGTTCTTTGACTCCCAATTCATGGCAGCATGAGAGAATTCATGTTTGAATCAACATGTAAAACTAATAACTCTTCAATATCCATATTACTACTTAACATTTATAATTCAGCAGTTAGTAAGGACCACATGGATGTAGAACAGGAGCTTCTATGAGCTCATCATTTTAGGAGATAAAACATGTGTGTCTCTAATGACCTGCTAGGCTGCTCCACTGCTACAGAAAAGCTCTCTACTGATTTACCACCACCTACTATGACACACTTCCTTCTTTCTCTGAAAGTGTGATTCCTTTGCTGATCTTCCATCTGAGCTTTTCAGGGAAACAGGATTGTGTCAAAAGAGGGAATCCCAAAGCAAAAGGAAATGCTAGCCTAACTATATGTAGGACCATTTGCACATGAAGGCAGGTGTTGTCATTGGTGGCATATGCAATGCAACAATAGTTGGCAAATAACATAAAAAGTTCACCAGTTCCAGCCATGCTTACTAACACATGGATCTCCCTGTGAGAAAAAATGGACAGTTGCATGAACATAAGCATACAATGCCACAAATCCACAGAGAGCAGGAGCTAACCTAACTACCACACGGAAAAGCCAAGCTAGTTAGGCCATTTTTGCATCGGGGGAAGATTACAAGCAGTCAAGTGCATATACGGGCAGAAGGACCAGAAAGAAAGACTAAACCTTACACATCAGCGTGAATAGACGCAGGACCAATAGCAAAAGGGTACAAGCATGGGCGAATGGATGGCTCACCTTCTTGACGGCGAGGGAAGGAGACGTGCGCGTGGGGTCGCCGCCCACCCGCTCAAGCACGGCCAGGTCCCTCAGCCGCTCTCTCTGCGCTCGTTCCCTCGCTGCAGCAGAAATCATGGCAGCCATAAGCTCGAGCATCGACAACTGATCCAACCGGACCGCTGCTCGCGCAATTTGGTCGAACAGGTTGTGCGCGTTGGCGCCACGGCAACACCGACGCCCGGCTGCCGGCTGGTTTCATCGCCTTCGCTGAACAGGCGGCTAGCGCCGATGTAAGAAGGGAGGGGGTTACCTGGGCACATGTCAGGGCAGGTGCCCATGATCGGCGCTGCGTCGTCGACAGGAACGGCCGGGGTTGGGGTGGGGTTGAGCGCCGCAGGGGAGGCGGTGGAGGAAGGTGGTGATGGGGAGGGCCGGCCGCCGCCGCGTCCGCGTCCTCGCCAGCCGCGTCCGCGGTAGGAGCTCTGGCCACGGTGGCTCGCCTCGACGCGGCGGTCCATGGCTGTCTGGCTCTCCGGGGCTTCGATCTAGACCGGAGGGGAAGAAGAAGCAGTTGGAGTAGCGGCTCAGTCAACTGATTAAACTGCCTCAGGTCACTTTTTTGAGAAAACTCCTTTAAACTGATTCGAGCCATCGACTTTGTATAAAATAATACTTTGTTTTAAAGGATACTCGTAACACGTAAACATCTAGACATCAAACAGGATTGATTCGATACATCATGATATTTAATTTACTTGTGTATTTATTTGATATCCAGTCTGTTCGTTCGTTGGTTTTAGCCAGTCCAAATCAGTTAACCAATAGTGTTTTACTTTCACCACAAATCAGCACCAGCCAGCCTAAATCAGCATAGAAATCAACCAGCGAACAGGCCAATTGTAGATGTTAATATACTTTTTTATAAAACTATTTGAAAATTGAAATTAGATAGATTTAACTTAGGATAAAACTAAAATAACGTACTCCCTCAGTCCCTTGAAGAATCAATTTATGAAGTTGTCCTAAGTCAAACTTTTTAAACTTTGACCGAATTTATAAAAAAAAACATCAAGATTTATGATATCAAACTAGTAACATTAGATGTATCATAAAATATATTTTCATAATATGCTCATTCTATGTTACAGATGTTGTTATTATTTTTTAAAAGTTAGTCAAACTTAAAAATGTTTGACTGACACGAATTCTTAAAATTAATTTATTTGAGAACAGAGGAAGTACAGCTTATATAACTTGAAAACAAGGGAGCGAGGTTGAGTAAAAAGACATAAGGTTTAGTTTCCTGTGTAGAATAATGCTTTGTCCGTTCTAAATTATAAACATTTTGGTTTTTCTAGATGGTTTTTGCGGCTGATAAGCCGGCTGATTCTATTTTATTGTGAAAGAAAAATATTGTATCATAATTGATAAGCCAGGCTAATAAGTTCAAATGAACAGGGCATAGCAAACTACTTATATAGAACAGCCAAACTATTTTGTAATTTGAAATAAAGGGAATAACATTTATATGTACATGCCATTGTTACAATGAAGAGGTGTAATTCATGTCATGCATAGAAAGGTGTTGCCCTACCATAAAACCATCAGGGTTAAACAATGAAAAATCAAGCATGACATGTAAAACGCTATTTCTTTCGCTATAGCTTTTCTAGTACATGCTCTTTCTATTCTAAATTATAAATTATTTTAGTTTTTAGATATAATCTATGTCTAAATACTCCATCTGTCTCAGAATAAATATCGCTATGGTATGGCGGTCAAACTTTCTCAAGTTTGAAAATATTAGCAACATTTGTATCTTCAAATAAGTTAATTATAGAAAGAGATTTAATGATCTATCTAATTATACACTATAAATATTATTAATTTTTTTATATATTTTGTCAAAGTTAAAAGCGTTTGACTCTCTAGGAAGCGAGAACAACTCTTATTTTGAAACGGAGGGAGTACATAGTAAAACTTATAAATCTAGAAAAGCCAAAATATCTTATAATTTAGAACGGAGAAAGTAATAACAGAGAATAATTTTTGCTATGCACTGGATATACGCTACGCCACATTAGCCACTATTTTTGTTAAAGCATACTTAAATATGATAAATCTATACTCTACGAGTTTTAAGAGAGTACACTCCAAGGAAGTATTTCTGGATTTTTGTTACCATCTATATGTTTTTAGAGTCTTTCGTGGCTATAACTTTTTTTAGAATTACATAATACAACGTAGACGTCCACAACATACGTACATTTATCCCTATGAACATACGCACACACCTCCATAGGATTGAGCCAGCAGATATTGAAATTCACAAAGTCATCATCGATGCCTCGCTGTTGACGGAGACGTCGCCTACCATTGAAAACATAGCATAGTGAAATCCTGAAATAAATTTAGAAAAATATAAGCACCCGTGCTAAGTCGAGAACTTAAACCTAGGTGGCTAGGTTCCACCACCAGAAACCCAACCGATTGATTTATGATCAGTTCGCTTCATGGTTTCAACCTTGAAAATTTGAATGGCTCTATCTACAACAAAGTACTCCATCCGTTCCAAAATAAGTAGCATTCTCATTTCTTGAGCAGCCAAATGCTCTTAATTTTGACCAAATATATAAGAGAATATTAATATTTGTAGTACACAGTTAGTATCATTAGATAAATAGTTGAATTTATTTTCATAATAAACTTATTTGGAGATACAAATATTGTTAATTATTGAAAGGTCCTAATGGCTAGAGGGGGTGAATAGCCTATTAAAAATTTCTACAACAACACTTAACAAAACCGGTTAGACAATTATGAGGCGAAGCAAGTGTTGCGCTAGCCTACTAAAATAGCAAGCCACCTACCACAATTCTAGTTTATATAGTTTATATCCACACAATAGCTATGACTAGTTTCTATCCACACAATAGCTATGACACTACACTAAGTTAGTGTGCTCTCAAAAGCTAACTAAAGAGCCACACTAACCAAACTAACAAGCTCTCACAACTAGCTATACTAAAGAGCTTGACAACTAGTTTGCGGTAATATAAAGAGAGTGAGCAATAAAGTTATACCGCTGTGTCGATGAGTGAACCAATCAATCATAAGAAAGAATACCAATGAAAACAAATCACCTCGGAATCAAATGATGAACACAATGATTTTTTATCGAGGTTCACTTGCTTGTCGGCAAGCTACTCCTCGTTGTGGCGATTTACTCAATTGGAGGTTCACGTGCTAATTGGCATCACACGCCAAGCCCTCAATAGGGTGCCGCACAACCAACACAAGATAAGGATCACACAAGCCACGAGCAATTCATTAGAGTACCTTTTGGCTCTCCGTCGGAAAAAGATCAAGAAACCCTCACAATCACCACGATCGGAGCCGGAGACAATCACCACACTCCGCTCGACGATCCTTGTTGCTCCAAGCCGTCTAGGTGGCGGCAACCACCAAGAGTAACAAGTGAATCCTGCAGCGAATCACGAACATCAAGTGCCTCTAGATGCAAACACTCAAGCAATGCACTTGGATTCTCTCTCAATCTCACAAAGATGATGAATCTATGATGGAGATGAGTGGGAGGGCTTTGGCTAAGCTCACAAGGTTGCCATGTTAATGCAAATGGCCAAGAGAGTGAGCTAGAGCCGGTCATGGGGCTCAAATAGAAGCCCCCACGAAATTGAGCCGTTGTACCTCTCCACTGGACACAACACGGGGTGACCGGACGCGCCGGTCAGTTTGACCGGACGCTGGACCTCAGCGTTCGGTCGTGCGATGCACGCCACGTGTTTCCTTTCTTCAAATATTGAGCGCTCGATCCCAACGGTCAAGTGATGACCGGACGCGCTACTGTGAAGTGACCGGACGCTGGACCTCAGCGCCCGATCGTTTCCAGTAAGCATTCAGAAGCGAGAAATCATGACCAGACGCGTCCGGTCATGCTTGACCGGACTCACCCAGTGTCAGGTCACTCGGCGTCTCCCCTATGCGCTGCCACGTCAGTAGGACCAGACGCAACCCTCCAGCGTCCGGTCATTAAGTGACCCAGCGTCCGGTCAAAGACCGACGCCAGTGTCTTTGCAGCTTCTACTGACCGGACGTGCCGGTCCAATCGAGGCCAGCGTCCGGTCACTTTCAGTGACCTCCGTCTTTTCTGTATAGAGCACCGATGGCATCGTCGGACTGTCCGCACTCTATGGGGATTTTTTTTAATTTTAACACTTTTTGGAAACTAATTTTAAATCTAACACGGTCGGTTTTTTTAAAAAACTAACACTTTTGGCCGTGCCTATTGCCCTGGCGTGGCCAAATGCCTATGCCGCGCCATGCATGGTGGCGCGGCAGAGGGCTGACGTGGCGGCGACTAGAATCGTTGACCGTTGATGGGGCAGGGCCTGCCACGCCATCGACCTTGGCGCGGCAGTGATGCGCCTTGATCTGTGGCGCGACAGAGCCGAATAAAACCCCGTGGCCAGTCCTGCCTGCCCAAGCAGCAAGCCCGCCTGGCCGCCGCGCCCGTCGCCCGCCCGGCGGTACTTGGACGGTTTAATCGGAACGCGTCGCGCCGATAGTTGGAGTTATTCTAAGTATTGCTTGACATAAAATTAATAGTGGATTTGTTTCTGTCTTTTGTTGAATTAGTTTCACGACCGAATAGAGAATTTGATAAGGCAATGTTTTTTTTCGTCTTTCATAATACGGTTAACCACCATGTTAACTAATCGATTACGAAAAATTGGATTTGATTGAAACGAATATTTTTTAAGGGAACTTATTTCTTGGGCTTTTTGGCCCCATATTGTAGGATCAGCGGCGACGCGACCATGGATCCTGGCTTTCTCAACCCCTCGCGCAAGACGTCGGCCACCGGCGTCGAGATACGGCGGGACTGCCGGTTCCTGAACTAGTTGCTACTTAATCTCGCTGGCAGTGCTGTCGCGACGCATATAAATGAATATGAAGCAAATAAATGAAGTCTGTGCGCAAGTTGACAAGCTGCCACAACATTTTTATGGGTTTGACATAAGTTTGACATAACATAACCAAATAACCCCGCAAGTTTCGGACGCCAATATTCGTTTGACCTAACAAACTAAGACCTAGGAGTGTAAGGATCCCTCAGACACCTCTGTCTCTTTGGATTTGTTGGCAACACATTGGGAGTGTAGCCAACGTCGGTATGGTCACGTCGACGGTGCGTACGGCTCGTACCCTACAAGTATATGATACGCACGATTACTTATAATTCTTTATGATCGTTAGTTCATGGAGCATACGTATTTAAAGAAACTACCATTTTTAGTACCTGTGAGGCTCCTTGGGTACTAAGCGGGGCACTACCTAGCTAAGACATGCCAATCTCATCATGCGGCCAATCGTCCCACTGGTCGTGCTGTCTACGGAAGCTCGGGGGGTCATCGCCGTCATCATCGTCATCCTCGTCGTCCTCGGTTGCAGGGTCCTTCCCAGCGCTATGATGTGGTGGTGTACGCACCACGGAAGT